ATATAGGTCATTTGAAATCAGTTTTGCTGCCTCCCTAAGATGTGCTTCCATAAAATGTTCTCATGCCACATTAATCTGTTTAGAATGGTGTAATGACACATCAGGGCATGTTAATAAATGTAGGTACCACAATAACCAAGTCAGTACACAAAACATTCTTCCCAGTACAATGTGTCATGCTGATCTGTATTCAAAGCCAAAAAGCTATCTTACCAGCTTTACTAATTAGTTCCATTAATTAATATACTAATATTAGTTGCTCGATTCAAATTCTGACATTGGGAGCCAGGGACAATTCATTCAGATGTACTGTCCCTGGCTCCCCAACCTCTGTTTGAAGGGGAGCCTCAGGCCTTTAATCCCTCTTATGCAGGTGGAGGAATGCAGAAGCTATCAGAAAGTGGGTTGGCCAAAGACAAAGGGAGTAACAGTTCAATGGCATGCGTCCTCCCCCAAGAATCCACAATTCACACTGCATGCCTGGAACCAATATTTATCCCTGTGACAATTTATCAGGTACCTCCCCTCACCTACTCATGGCTGTCTATAACTTCTCTTTGGTCTTGGTCTTTCAGATAGTTTTCAATGTACAGGAATGACCCTGTCTCAGGAAATCTTATGTGGGATAGGAAAACATATCTACCATGTTCCCTTCACCCAGTCCAGTTTTACTTCTAGTAAGAAAGCAACCAGGTTTGCTTGGCAAGCTTTAAATTCACAATACTTGATGCACATGTTTCTAATAAAATAACAGAACATCTAGAAGATAAAGGACTCAGACGTTAGATGTATGAGATGGTATTTGCCAAGATCACACTTACTTCCTTTCTAAAGTGCTACATTTGCTTTGATAAAACCCCCAAAACTATCAGATACGATAATTGGTGGCTTACTCCCTTGTTATCTGTCTTCTGAGCTGGCTGGTTTGTATATGTTCAAAAAATTTAAGTACTCTCTTAATTGCTTTCAGTTACTTTCTACAAGGTCTTCCAAATTTATCAAAGTTAAGAAGTTTGAACAAGTTACCACTAACGTATCCTTCTGTATTACTGGACTTAGGCACATAATTTTAATGGTATTTAGGTGTTAGGCCTTGCAATGCTGAATGGAACAATGCCTAAATACCTTTAAAAATACAAAAAGGAGTACTTGTGGCACCTTAGAGACTAACAAATTTATTAGAGCATAAGCTTTCGTGGACTACAGCCCACTTCTTCGGATGCATAAAGAGTGGAATAAATATTGAGGAGATATATATATACATCTGAAGAAGTGGGCTGTAGTCCACGAAAGCTTATGCTCTAATAAATTTATTAGTCTCTAAGGTGCCACAAGTACTCCTGTTCTTTTTGCGGATACAGACTAACATGGCTGCTACTCTGAAACCTTTAAAAATACAGGCCTTGCTGTTTATCTGTACTTTCTCATTTGTAAGAGCCCTTGTTACCTTTAATCCCAGTCTGGCCAAGAATTTCAGAAGTAATTATTTTGAGTGCTCAACTGAAGATGCCATAATGGGACCTGCTTTCCAGAAAGTCTGAGCACTTACCCTTTGAAAGGTAGGTCTGTTCAGCTGGGTAATCAGAGTCAGTCACTTTTTAAAAAAATGGTATCTCTGTCCCTTACTTTTTCTCTACAACACACTCCTCACTCTGCTTTTTTGTGTGGCTTCATTTCCTGTTTTTTCATTTGCAGTAGTTTGTTTAAAACAATCCCTCCTTCAAAAAGCCTGTTAGCTGCTGCCTTGTATTCTTTTCCAGAAAAAAATTCTAGTCTGTTGCACCTTGACTATGGTGTGCGCTAAAATTTCCCACCATTCTACTACACTGATGGATTTTAATATTTCCCTTTACATACTAGGACCTCAATCCTGGAATTGGATCTGTGAATCCTTGCAGCATCAGGGCCTTTATTACTTAATTTGCTAAATGTTCCGATGTGTAAGGAGCAGAAACCTTAATTAAAGTCAGGTCATTGATCAAAGCCCTCAGCCCAGCCTGGAGATAGCTGGTTCTCTTGGAACTGTTCCCGAATCTTGTTCCAAGACATTAACGGTGAGGTCAAAGGACAGTTCTGGGATTTTTATGCAAACTGACTTTCCTTTTAAACACAGTAGTGTGTAAGTCTACCATATAGGCAACATCTGATCGAACAGGGACAACTGGGTTATCCTTTTACATCTAACCACTTTTAAAAATTAAGACACTATCTTTCCTGACAAGAGAAATCCAGCCATGTACATGATTAAATCATGAGAGGAACCAGACCATGTGCTTCACTGAAAAAGAAAGAACTCAATGGTGATCTATTAGAAATCAAGTATCTTTTTCAAGAACAATTGAACACAAAAGGGAAGCCAAGATCCAGGAAGAGGGTTCACTTTTAACTGAGGAATATTTTATTAAATACAAAAAGTTTAAGAAACAGTGAAGGATTCCAATGTATGTTAACCCTAAAACTATATTTCACATAGCTCAGTTAAAAAGAGGTAGAAATTAACTTTTGTTGTTAAATAGACTAGAGTTACTAGACGAATGACCTCAAGCACAAATCAAGTTATAAAATAGTCATATACGCTTATATTTCCCCCAGGAATTTTTTGCATGATGGACTATTTTAATATCACCATGATATCTCTTTGTGCCACTTATCTTGTCTAAAACTGGCTGCTTAGAAGAGCTGAAGGCCACTTTTTATTCTATGGAGGTCATTCTGGGTCCACAATAATCCTTCCATCACAGCTCCGTTCAATTCAGGATTGCTGCAGAAAGAAAGAAAAACAGCAATTTAAAAGCCCCAGTGATTTGTGTAAGAGCTAAAGTGAAGAAAAATCACTTTGAAAAGCATTTTTAACATTGCCACTGAGAGCAGGCAAAAAAGGGCTTGTGATGTGTGCCCTTTGGCACCACCCTCTTGGCTCATTTTTAACTCGAGCTGCAGTGGTTGGAATGTCCTCAGTCAATATTCAGGATCAACTATGAAGCTGCCTTTCCCCTCTACAGGTTAATACAACAGCTGCTAATGTGAAAGATGCAAATGGGTGCAGAATTACCTGTGCAATAATAATTCAGCTGAACTGTTCTTTGGAATCAGGAACACTGATATATCAGGCAACATGCTAATTAAGCAAGCAGGCAACTTGAGACCTGCCTATGCCAGGCGATACCTGGTATGCACAAAGTAGTAGGCACAAGTCTCACAGCCTTGCTGTATCAGCCATTTTCTATTTCTGAGGTCCTTGTTGAGGTTGTGACCACCCTGCTCTCGGCAAGAAGGGCCACAGATCATGAATAATGTCAGGAACTCCCCCCCTGTTAGCAGGATGCTAAACCAGTATAATGGGAAGGGTGGTTTTGAATAAAGGTGCAGCCCTGGGAGTCGGGAGATATAGATGCCATTCCTGGCTCAACCAATGATTCCCATTGCTTAGATCATAGGAGAGTCTCTTGTGCCTAGCCCAGTGCAGTCCTTATGCATAAGTAGGGCTCCTACCACCATACAAATCACTTCTAGAAACCAGAGAATACTTAGCTTTTGGTTTAAGGAATTTATTGTTTGGGCCACAGTGTTCTAGGCCATTTCCAAACATAGAAGGTGGCTTGCTCCCTCACAATCAGTAAAAATAACCCTTTCCACTGCACAAATTACCCTCTTGGGGACGTTT